GACAGTTTTCTCAATAGGGGGCGGGATTTCATGTATGTATGGTAAATGGGCTCATGTATTCTACATGTATAATACATAGAATAATACACATGTATTATACATCCAATGTATGCCAATCCACCCTACTATTGAGTCGCTTGAGTGCGATTAAGAGAGAGTGACGAACAGATACTTCATTTCCTACGACTATATCGTTAACTATTTTGTCCAACAATTCGCTTAAATGTAACGTCTATTTGATCATCACTTCTATGAAAACATCATCTCTTCTCCAATCTATTCCCCTATGAATCGCACCAAATATAAGTCGGATTAGCGCTCTCTCTCTCTCTCTCTCTCTCTCTAAATGTTTAAATCGAGACAAAAAATAAGGTAAAATCCTTATTGTTATCACAACCACAAGAAATGAAAATTTTTTACAGAATTAACCCTTGTTTTAAAGATTATTGTATTTGGGATTGGATTCAATGTGTAACTCACAAAATCTGTGATTACTTATACTCTGTACTCTGTTACTCTGTACTGCTTTAAGTACTATTACTAGTAAAACATATAACATTTGCAAGAATAAAAAATATATCTAATAAAGCTCAATCGCCCACTAATCTCTAATCGCATAAAATAAATGTTTTAAAAACAATTTACTAAATCTTAAGAATATTCTTGATGTTATTTTAAAATTCTAAGCATAACTACAGTGTACAGTATACTACAGTATAGTAGTGGTATAATGGTATTGTAGTCTCTTTCTTTGCCTCCTATTAAACTATTTCTCAAACCATTATTTCTTTGAGTTATGAACAAAAAATAAACATTTTTATACACTTCACTGCATATGACATCAAAACAATTGAACTTTTTATATATTGAAATTATAAAATATATACATTTTATAAACGCTTTGAAATCAGATTTTCAGATCAAATTAATTTTGCCAACAATTATCATCCATAAAGTTGCTTACTTAATATTAATAACTCTGAAAATGTATAGATATTAATATTATTATCATATAATCTATAAGTACACATCTATATTTTTTAATTCTTAATACTGTACTGACATTGAAATCATTGTTTAATGCTATTAATATAACTTATTAGTTTAATTATTAAACTTAGTATTAAAATTATTAAAATTATTAAACTTTAATATAATACTTGTGCATAATTTACAGATAAGAAACAAACTTTATGCCATACTGTATAATATATGGCCAGTGTAAAGTACTCTATAAGTCTACCCTTTGATCACAAAACCTTTATTTTTTGTTGAGAGCGTAGGAGTTTTAGGTACACTTCAGACAATTATTACAATTTCATTATCTTTGTTGAGTTAACGACTATTTCACTCATTTTCATAAAACTGTATGAATTGTATGTTTAATTGTATGAATTATTTGCAAAAATATTAATTTGTTACTTGAATTGAATACGAAAATGAATACGTAAGTTGTGGTTTTATGTGTATTGTTAGCACTCGTGGGCCAAACCAGTGCCGGAATAGTGGGTCTCATTGTTGGATACGGCGGGTGTCAGACCGCCTGCAATGCCGCGTGGGTCGCATGCCTGGCCACTGCCGGTGTAGTAGCGGGTGAGACATACAGACAGACATACACTTGGTTTGAGTGACAATTCATTAACCATATGATTACTACTTAACAACAGGTACAGTGACTGCTGGTGCCGGAGCACCGGCCGCTGTGTTAGCGTCTTCAAGGCGTTTGTATGGCCAGTTGTGCCGCAGGATTTCTGTTGGCCCCTACACCTTAGTCTCCCTGGTGTCCACATAATGTCAAATTCTCTAATAATTGGATCCCTTTCTAAGCTTTTTTGTATTTTGTTTAACTCATGATATTATTGTTCACAATCTGATTGCTATTCATTACTTTTTGTAAACCAAGAAAATGAATGTAAAATTAATTTATAAGAATCTTGATATTCAATTAATTTCTAACTTCATGCATATAATGTATGACTAAATTGTATCGAAATAAAATTCATAATACTCATAAAACCACTGTAGTATTAATTATTTAAATCCATAACAGAGTCTATTAGTTGGCATAAAATAGTTACTGAATTCCAAGTCTTATCGTTTCTAACAGACAACTAAAAAAGTTTTTCATTTAACAGATTTGTTGGCAAACAAACAGTTTTATCAATTGAACACTGACTTGTGTGAGCTCTACAATACATAGAATTTGCATTAAATTCCTTT